GAATATTATGGGAGATATGTATTTTAATGTGAAATGTAAGTTCTGCTGCACAGAGGGATAATCCACTTAACGGTATATTCTCGTGGGAGTATCCCTCTCGTGCAGCAGTGCATGGTGGGAAAAATGCATGTATTGTTAAGTCCCCCAAGTAGTCCCCTACTGTGCCACCCCTGGAATGTCAGTAGGGAAACCCCTTGCATGGGGAATCCCATAAATACGGTGCCTGTAATTAAAAACCTCGGTTGACCTCCAAGCTATGTGTAGTCTCATTCTTGGGAGGAAGGGATTGTAACTACGCTACCTGGATTTTACCGGCTTTGTGCCTGCTTGATTCTGTCTACCAGCGGAGATACCGTGGATAATACTACTACTCCGCTACACACACTCACAATGCATCACAGTCCCTCCTCTCTATCCTGGAGATAAATGGGAGGCAAAACTCCATTGAGCACATGTTAATAAAAAGACTCAAAAATACCCACTGTTGCAAATAATTAACAAAACACATACATTTTACATATCCCCAGATAGCTTAGATCTGAGCGCACATTACCGAATGGTGCTCGGATCACATACATACAGTTCAATCGCCATGGAGCCCAAGTCTTTCCCCTAGTCTTTCATTACACGAATGGGCTCCATGGCTTAGCTATCTGGGGTGATGCTGTTCATCCAGTTAAACTACTGAATGAACAGTCATTCGGTTCCACTACCGAATGCAGAGGTAAGGAGGTTGGCGGCTCAGCAGTGTTCGCGCAAATAAGTGTCCGTTTTCAGTTCCATAGTTTGGGCGCTGAACACTGCTGGCTGTTTGGGAGTTAAAATGGCTGCTGCCACGTGTTCGGCAAATGTGGCCACGTGTTCGGGAAGTCAATTGATGGCACACTCCAGTTCCCAGGTGGTCCATCGTTCGGTACTTTGTTCGGTAGATTGAATCTACCGAAAACCCCGGCAGAAAGGCACGAATAAGCCTGTCAGCAGGGAAAATAAAAGGATTTAACTTCCGGGCCATATTCTAAAGGGAGCAGGCGAGCAACCAGGCTCTTCCAGTGCACAGTGGCGAGGTTGGTTTCGCCACACTCATCAACTCTCGGCATTGGATAAGCATCAAATAATTTATGGCATTTAACTTGCGGTAGTCATTACAGAACCTCCAGGTGCCATCAGGTTTTGGCACCAATACAACAGGACTACTCCAGTTACTCTGGGATTCTTCAATGACTCCAAGTTTTAACATGTTCTCAACCTCTAAGTTTATAACCTCCCTCCGGACCTCCGGAATTCTATAAGGTTTGAGATTAACTCTTTTCCCTGGTTCGGTTATTATGTCATGTTTAATCACCTTAGTCTTTCCTGAAACTACAGAGAAAACATCCCTATTTCTTCTGATGAAATCTCTGGCCTCTTGCTTTTGATGTACAGACAGAGTCTCAGATACGTTCACCTCCGGCTCTACTATAGGAGGTTCTGAAGGTTTTAAAGCAACTGTCCTTCCAAGGCTTTAACAGATTTATATGATACAACTTGTAACGGACCATTTTGCATACAAGAGGTTAAAATCCGTTTAGGCGATATTCCCCTTTTTCAAATGCACAGACAGCTACTGCAAGCACCAATCTCCCGAACTGCAAACCCACGAATTCACCAACTCCCGAACTGCAACCAAGGGAATACTCGAAACTCCTGTCCTGCATATCAAGTAGTGCTCCAAACTCCCGAACTTGAGACACACGAATAGCTGTTAGCAGACGAACAGGAAAAGCCCCCAAGCGGCTTACACTCCTGGCAATCAGTCTCTAACAGCATACAGTAAATCCCCCCCAAAGACGAGACGACACTTCGGTTTGAGGGTCAAGCAGAATCTGGTTTACTGGGGCTAACTGCCCGGCTTTTATGCAGGTCTCCCACCTGGTGGACACTCCCCTATGGGACCAAATGGGAAACTGGAAAACATATTGGCTCTTAGCCAATCACAGACATACACCTTTAAACACTCCCACAATTACATCACAATCCCTCCTCTCTGTCCTGGAGAAAATTGGGAAGTAATCCACTTATCTCCCAGGACAGAGGCAAAACTCCATTAACCACATGGCAGTAACAATACAGTAAAATACATAAAATTACATACAGCCAAATTTATTACCTAAAACATATACATTCTACATATCCCCATATAGCTTAGATCTGAGCGCACATTACTACCGAATGGTTGCTCAGATCACATACATACAGTTCAATCGCCATGGAGCCAAAGTCTTTCCCATAGTCTTTCGTTACACGAATAGGCTCCATGGCTTAGCTATCTGGGGGATGCTGTTCATCCGGCGAAACTACCGAATGACCAGTCATTCGGTTCTGCTTGAGGAAAAGGAGGGGTGTGTCGGGTGCTCACTCCAAAATAAACAGTTAAATAGGCAGCAGTAACCAATACAAGGATTCCCAGCCTTGTCAAGAAACAGTATAGAAAAGGAAAAGAGTAAACCGCGCCTTACATAAATTGTGTATACATACATTTGATGTCTCTTAGTAGTTGTGGATAATTTATCCTCAAAAAGAGAACACAAAGAGAAAATATACAATAGTGTAGTATGTTTTAACAATATTAGAAAAAGGTGATAAAGAGAGCGGAGGTATTTTGAACTCACATTTGGTAGAGCTATTGTGGGAGCTCTACCATAATTTGCATGGATGGTACAATCCCCGTTTTAGGATTAGAGGTCCAACGTCTTTGGCACTCCGATGTCATCTACTAAACCATCAGCCTGTGGGTGATATACTGAGGTCTTAAGATGTTTAACCTGGAAGAGCCTGCACAACTCTTTTGTGACTCTGGACATGAACGGGGTCTCCTGGTCTGTCAGGATTTCTTTAGGGATACCCACCCTACTGAACATCAGCATAAGTTCCTTAGCTATTAACTTTGCAGAGGTATTACGCAAGGGAATGGCCTCAGGGTAGCGAGTTGCATAGTCCAAGATGACTAATATATATTGGTGTCCCCTAGCGGACTTTACCATATGCCCCACTAAGTCCATAGTGATCCTTTCAAAAGGCACATCAATTATGGGTAAGGGTACAAGTGGACTACGAAAAGTCTTGAAAGGAGCCCTGTACTGGCACTCAGGACATGAGGAGCAATAGTTTGTAATAGCAGCAAACACTCCAGGCCAGTAAAACCTTCTAAGGACTCTCTCTCTAGTTTTTTCGACTCCCAAATGTCCCCCTAATATGTGGCTGTGAGCCAACTTTAGCACTATATTTTGGTAAGTCTGAGGAACCAACAGCTGCTTAATGATATCTGAATCCCTTTTTTCTACGCGGTAAATTAGGTCATTTTGTACTTCAAAATAGGGGAACTGCAGTGCTTCTCCTGGCTGATTAGCAATCCCATTTACAACTTTAATATCATTTCTAGCTGTCACTAAAGTGGTATCTTCCCACTGAGCACTTTTAAAATTACCCAGACTGATCCCAACATCAATGAAGCCCTTATCCTTGTCTGCAGTATTAGTAGGCTCCTCACTAGTTTGAGCTGGGTTATCTCCAATTAATACTGGTTTAGGGCAGTATTTTCTCCTTTTTATTATTTGTCTGTCACAGTGGTCAAAACCCAAGTCAATATCGGAAAAAGGGAACACATTATCCTCGACAGACTGACTCATTTCTGATAAATTTTGGTCTGTCTTTTGTACAGCTGCCCATAATTCTAGAAAATGAGGAACGTCTCTACCGATCACTACCTCATGGGCTAATCTAGGTACTACACCCACTCGGTACTTTAAATCCCCATACTGGGTTCCAATATTTACTTCCGCAGTGGGGTATTCCTTTTTATCACCATGAACACAGATAATACCTATTTTCTGTACATGATCAGGTTTTACACAAGGTATTACAGACTCTGCTACCAACGTAACCATTCTACCTGAATGAAGTAATGCTTTAGACATTTTTCCATTCACAGTTACACAGCATTTATGAGCGTTATTATCATAGTCATTGTTAACAGCACCATAACAGTTGAACAAAAATGAATGTGCTCCCTCATCTTTGCCCATATTGCATTCCATAGGTTCATCCTTCAATAGACAGTCTTTGGCCATATGACCATCCTCTTTGCACTTGAAACATTTGACAGTATAATCTGATGACCAATTAGTTCCTCTCCCAGGCCTGTTAGACCTGAATGCCCCCCTTCTTCCTGATGTATTGTCCCAGGTATTTTGTGTATAGAGCTGCAGCTCTTCAGCTCCCCTTAAACCTTGAACAGTCTTACCAGGTCTTGTAGAATCTTGGGGCTTAGGATTGCGGGGTTTTCCTGTGAAGGGGGATGTAGCAGTTCTCCTGCAGTGACATATCTTTCCACCAAGGCAATCAGCTGGTCTGCTGTATGGGGATCACTTTGGCTGACCCAGCGATGCAGGGCAGCTGGTAAACCACACAAAAACCGGTCCATTACCAAGGTTTCCACAATGTGGCTGGCTGAATGGATTTCAGGTTGTAGCCATTTCAGTGCGAGGTGTATGAGGTCAAACATTTGGGAACGTGTGGCTTTGTCAGAAGAATATGACCATGAGTGGAACCTTTGGGCACGTACTGCAGAGGTTACACCCAGTCGTGCCAAGATTTCAGCTTTCAATTTGCTGTAGTTACTTGCATCGGCTGGTTCTAGGTCATAGTATTGCGCTCACTCCCATCACTACTGGGCCGGCAGCAATGACTACAATACACATCAGACCCAATATATAGTAAAACCCAAAGAAAAGAAAAAGTTACCTGCGCTCTCTCCTTAATCCCTATATATATTTAGACAAATGGAGGTCATTTAGTTGCTCCAATGGCCATTGGATGGAATGCCCGTCTGCCAACGTCAAAGCAGGGGGGTCTGCCTTAACGTTGGCAGGCGGGCATTCCCTCCAATGGCCATTGGAGCAACTAAATGACCTCCATTTGTCTAAATATACATAGGGATTAAGGAGGGAGCGTGTCACGGCAAGGGTGCATAATTTATTATTACCCTATGGAACATTATCCTTTAATGTAATTTGTGTAGTAAATGGCACAAATTACAGAGATGCTATTGTTGAGGTCAAAAGGGGTTACATCTTTTGAAGCTTGGACCGCCACAGAGGTCAGATGACCGAAGGGAAAGTATGACTGGCATAGCGATGTGAAAGGGATTTTACTATATGGATGTGAAGTAATCAAGGCTCTCCAAGGTGTGAGGTTCTACACTTGGAAAAAGTCTGAATGTCTATTCATCCATTTGGCATATACCTTGTAGGATAGTTCAATCATTTGAAATGGTAATGGAATTCGTTTCATGAAGATCCTTGTGTTCCAGTATTTTATCCAAGAGAAACATTAATACTTACCCACAGTTTAATAATTAAGACTCATTTTTATTATATTTGGAATGGGATAAGCCCACTCTCTTAAATAAGCCTAAACATGAGTTGCACAACGTAAACCATGTGGCAGGAATTGTGCTGTCTGTCCTATTGGATCGTGGGTGGGGCCGTGCAGTACGTCTATGGAATGGGAAAACAATAACAAATTCATAGAGGCAATTATTATTTCTGTGGCAAGTACAGTAGAGGAGATAAAACCAAAAGTTTGTATGTGGGTTGTTGGTTTCTGGAACAAAGGAGGTGGTCACTTAGTATCCCTATTGCTCCACCCCTGGATGAGGCATGGCAATTCACAGGGTATATCTCCTGTGATTCTGAAGGGTGTTTGTGTACTTGCTTGGGGCCAAGATCTAATTTTGAGTGAGTCACCATCTTTCCTTGCCAGAGACCCCCTGGACAGAAGTTGTACTTTGAAAACCTAAGTGAGTAATTAGGACTTTCTGTATTTTATCCTTTTTGTTTTTATCTGTTGTTGGTGTAAATAATTTGTTTATCATATATTGTTATATGCACCATGACTATTTTTTGCTCATAATAAACATTCATTTATTAAGTTTTGCCTTTGTCTGGTTAAGAATCACGTTACCTGAAGAGACTAGTTAGTATTTTTGCAAGTAATATTTGGTGGGTTTTGTTATTGATTTACCTGGGGGACCAAGGCACCCCATTTATAAATTGTCTTGGTGGTGGCTGCATTATAATAGTATTAGTTATATTATTATGTTTAAGTGTGGGTGGTGATAAAAGGGGGATTTTGTCATTATTTCCAGTCTAGTGCAGACAAATAGTGAACTTTCACCACCACAACTACGTCACGCACACTCTTGGAGTAGGGTGCGTTCGTGATAGAGCGCAGGTAACTTTTTCTTTTCTTTGGTTTTTACTATATATTGAGGCTGATGTGTATTGTAGTCATTGCTGCCGGCCCAGAAGGGATGGGAGTGAGCGCAGGACTTCTCTTTTTGTATTTGTATTTACTTTGTATCACACAGCCTTGTTACAATGCTGCCGCCCATCCCATGTGTTCCCTATTAAGGGTTAATAAGTATACAGGGGTGTATATAAAACATACCCCTCTCTGTCTCATTAGAGATACAGTTGCAAGAAAAATTATGTGAACCCTTTGGAATGATATGGATTTCTGCACAAATTGGTCATAAAATGTGATCTGATCATCATCTAAGTCACAACAATAGACAATCACAGTCTGCTTAAACTAATAACACACAAAGAATGAAATGTTGCCATGTTTTTATTAAACACACCATGTAAGCATTCACAGTGCAGGTGGAAAAAGTATGTGAACCCTTGGATTTAATAACTGGTTGAACCTCCTTTGGCAGCAATAACTTCAACCAAACGTTTCCTGTAGTTGTAGATCAGACGTGCACAACGGTCAGGAGTAATTCTTGACCATTCCTCTTTACAGAACTGTTTCAGTTAAGCAATATTCTTGGGATGTCTGGTGTGAATCGCTTTCTTGAGGTCATGCCACAGCATCTCAATTGAGTTGAGGTCAGGACTCTGACTGGGCCACTTCAGAAGACGTATTTTCTTCTGTTTTAGCCATTCTGTTGTTGATTTACTTCTATGCTTTGGGTCATTGTCCTGTTGCAGCACCAATCTTCTGTTGAGCTTCAGCTGATAGACAGATGGCCTTAAGTTCTCCTGCAAAATGTCTTGATAAACTTGGGAATTAATTTTTCCTTTGATGATAGCAATCAGTCCAGGCCCTGACGCAGCAAAGCAGCCCCAAACCATGATGCCCCCACCACCATACTTCACAGTTGGGATGAGGTTTTGATGTTGGTGTGCTCTGCCTTTTTTTCGCCACACATAGTGTTGTGTGTTTCTTCCAAACAACTCAACTTTGGTTTCATCTGTCCACAGAATATTTTGCCAGTACAGCTGTGGAACATCCAGGTGCTCTTGTGCAAACTGTGAACGTGCAGCAATGTTTTGTTTGGACAGCAGTGGCTTCATCTGTGGTATCCTCCCATGAAATCCATTCTTGTTTAGTGTTTTACGTATTGTAGATTCCCTTACAGGGATGTTAGCATTTGCCAGTGACTTTTGTAAGTCTTTAGCTGACACTCTAGGATTCTTCTTCACCTCATTGAGCAGTCTGCGCTGAGCTCTTGCAGTCATCTTTACAGGACGGCCACTCCTAGGGAGAGTAGCAGCAATGCTGAACTTTCTCCATTTATAGACAATTTGTCTTACCATGGACTGATGAACAGCAAGGATTTTGGAGATACTTTATAACCCTTTCCAGCTTTATGCAAGTCAAAAATTCTTAATTGTAGGTCTTCTGAGAGCTCTTTTGTGCAAGGCATCATTCACACCAGGCAATGCTTCTTGTGAAAAGCAAACCCAGAACTGGTGTGTGTTTTTTATAGGGCAGGGCAGCTGTAACGAACACCTCCAATCTCATCTCATTGATTGGACTCCAGTTGGCTGACATCTCACTCCAGTTAGCTCTTGGAGATGTCATTAGTCTAGGGGTTCACATACTTTTTCCACCTGCACTGTGAATGTTTACATGGTGTGTTCAATAAAAACATGACAACATTTCATTCTTTGTGTGTTATTAGTTTAAGCAGACTGTGATTGTCTATTGTTGTGACTCAACATCATCCGATGCAGTCATATTCTGAAGGTAGTGGCTTGCCCGAATCATCTTTGGTCCCTGGTATCTTCCATCAGGGTCTCCATTCAGTTTTTCAGAGATAGCTTGGATTTCCTGTTGTAGTCCCTGGGCGGCATTTTGCTGCTCCTCACAGGCTACTTTAAACATCTCAGCTTGTGTCACAGCAATCTGTTTCACCAAAGACTCTGTGCACTCCATCTGTGTTTTGGCCAGGATTTTAGCACACTCTGCCTGGGCCAGCACCAGCTGTTGTAGGGCTGCACCGTTGGCTGCCCACATTCTCCACCATATTTAACAAACCACCTCTTTTACAGGTAGGATTGTCACAGATCTTGCAGTAACCACAGCCTTCTAGGGTAATCAAAGTCCAGGACACGTTCAGCTCAGATTTCCTTTTTATTTGATAAGAAAAACAGGTGCTTTAAATAATAATAAATAAACAAAATTCCTTGCACTTACTAGACAGAAATTGTGACAGATTCATCTGTATTGTTGGTTCGTCTGTTTCCCTTTGTTCGCTGAATTGCCTGTTCATATACCCCCGTTCGTGTAATTTGCAAACTACCGATTGAAACTACCGAACGAACGACCACCCAGGAGAGGAGTGTGCTGCTGGTTAACCTCTTGGCCCCAATTAGAACGTTGTGGTTAACCGCAGACACCTCTCCATTCCATTCGTACGGGTGGTCGTCGTTCGCATGTCGACCACGAGGCAGCGGCCATTTTGGGACATACGAACGCATAGCGGTGTTCGGTACAAACTGTATGGAACTAAAAACGGACACTTAAACTACCGAACACCGCTGGAAGCTGCTGCCTACCTTCCATTTCGACAAGGCATGCGAACGTCGGTCGTTCGGGAGTTTTTATTCATTCGTATGGATTTTCACCCAGACAGCCATCCCATGGAGTCATTCGTATACCGAAGGACTGGTGAAAGACTTTGACTCCATGGCGATTCGACTAGATACAACAGATCTGAGCGCTATTCGGTGAAAACATGCACTCAGATCCAGGCTGTCTGGGGATACGTTACACGAACTATATGTATTCGGTATTTCTGCAATTATGTATTTTAATGTATTTTTATTACTGTATTCCAAAATGGCGATTGTCTCTACCTTGGGAGATAATTAGGTTTCTTCCTAATTATCTCCGATGTAGAGAAGACGTAATTATGGGCAAGATGGGAAGGGCTATTATTGAAGCCACTGCGATTGGCTACTGTCCAATATGTCTTACAGTCTTCCACAAGGTCCCCTCGGGGAGTGTCCACCTTGTGGAGACCTGCATAAATACCGGGCAGGTAGCCCCCATTAAACAGATCTTCATTTGACCCTCAACACGGAGCTTGGTCTCATTTGTGGGGGAATTATTACTGGGACAGCGCTTTCGTTATTTTTAGCTGTGGAAGGCGTTCGACTGTTTTGCTGATCGGGAGTTGCCGTGTTCGTGGACTTCGTTTGGGAGTTTAGTGGTCGGCTGGATTTACCTGACGGTACGTGTCGTAACAGAAATAACGATCTGTAATTGGGTGGCTTTCCCACTTACCAATTTTCCACGAAAACAAAATAGAATTTGCAATAAACACAGTTGTTTTTCTCTCTCCTTCAGCTCTCCTAGCGGGCTCTTTCTCCCTCACTCTGCAGCAGGCTGATCTCTTCTTTTAACCCCTTAAGGACCAAACTTCTGGAATAAAAGGGAATCATGACATGTCATGTGTCCTTAAGGGGTTAAAGGCCTGCCTGCTAATTGACCAGATACAGGTGAGTATCAATTAGTTCACATCTCTGGAACTCTCTGGAACTCTGGTCTGTTACAGGGCAACTAGTGCTGTTGGAGCATTGGCCCACCCTGCTCTCCAAATGCTCCGCCCTAGGGACCCTTACTGTGAGATTGGGGTCGGAATAGGAATCTCTCATAGAGATGCATTGAACCGTCTCCACGATAATCCAGCAATGTATATTGCAAACTTAATATCTCTCCCAGGGACATTTAACTGAAAAAGCTCTGGCTGCTGTTTAGCAAAGCAGGCCTGATATATCTTCCTTCAACCACTAGTCCACATTTTCACTCACAATTTGTTCTGTGGTTTACTCTCAGGTCCAGGGGGGAGTGCCCCTTGCATGGGGACTTGCATATAAGGCCAGTTGTGGCTCCCATTAAACAAGTTCCTGCTTAACCTCAACACAGATTCTCATCTAATGTGTGGGAGAAACGGCTGTATCTACCCTGGAGATTGCTGTATTACTATACTCCTCTGGGTTATAATCACTTGCTCTTGTAAGAGCTGCCTGATACGCTCCATGGAGTAGAAGAGGTCTGCCCACTGGAAGCTGGATCCTGGTCTTGGGTCCAGGGTGGGTGGAGGACGGCGAGACCCCAGCCAAGCTGTAACGCCGGAAGTGGGGACTACGGTGCTGATGGTGTCTGGCGCAGTGCTTGTGGTACTTGGTGTGACGGTAGTAAACTGTATCACCGTCAAGCATTCCCTTCTTCCCATAAAAGAACATCACCAAGTAATCCACAGGAATAAATATCGCTGGTATCGCCAAATAATCCACACATGAGCCAAAGCTTAATGCTGGAACAAGACTGATTTATAATGACACACACTCTGCTTTTATGCAATTCCCCCATGCAAGAGAGACGCCCACATACAATTAGAAATTACCCCATCACACACTGGTTACATCCCACACAAAATCCTCCCCTCTGCCTGTGATATGATTACTGAACACAATGGGTTAATATAATTATCACAGGCAGAGAAATACAGTTTTTACAAAATATTAATAACTTCAAAAATATACATGCCACAAACATAAAAATTACATATTTGAACTCAGTACACTTTAATTATAAACATATCCAAAATTCAGCCAATTCCATCCAGGAGTTAAAAAGTTAGCTGGAGGTCCCTTTTTGACCATAGATTTCACAGTTCCATAGATTTGGGCTGTGCGGTCGGTCTATTTCAGGCTGAAAAAACGATCGCTGAACGGGACTTAGTCTCTGTGGCTGCAAAATCATTGTGGGAGAAGGTCCAGGTCAGCGGTGTTCGCGGAACTGTGTAGCCGATTTCAGTTCCATGAATTTGGCTACACACACCGCTGACCTCGTTCGCATTAACAAAGAACAAAGGTTCAGTAAGCCCCATTTACTAAACCAAGTGGGAGAAAGCCAGGAACACAGTATATTATATTAGGGGCAATGTTCCCAAAAGTCACACTATGTCCCCAGATGGTTCTTAAAGGGTCAGCAGCAGCACAACACAAATCCATTATGCCCAAATCTTGTATTTAAAGGGCCAAACCTCCCAGGGACCATAATCACATGGCAAAAGGCTGGCAAGTCGTACTCTCCAGGCACAAGTGGCGATGTTAATTTCGCCACACTTGGTAACCACTAAGGAAGCATCGATTGGTGGAGGCACCTAGTTGGCGTACCAGGCGGTCCGCCACAGTCGGTAGAGGTAACCTGCCCAATCTAACATGTAATGACGATGGTCAATATAAGTAACCTATCCAATCTACCCTATAATGAAGATGGTGGGTAAAGGTAACCGGTCCAATCTACCATGTAATGAAGATGGTCGGTATAGGTAACTGATCCAATCTACCATGTAATGAAGATGGTCGGTATAGGTAACCGATCCAACCTACCATGTAATGAAGATGGTCGGTATAGGTAACCGGTCCAATCTACCATGTAATGAAGATGGTCGGTATAGGTAACCGGTCCAATCTACCATGTAATGAAGATGGTCGGTATAGGTAACCGGTCCAATCTACCATGTAATGAAGATGGTCGGTATAGGTAACCGGTCCAATCTACCATGTAATGAAGATGGTCGGTATAGGTAACCGGTCCAATCTACCATGTAATGAAGATGGTCGGTATAGGTAACCGGTCCAATCTACCATGTAATGAAGATGGTCGGTATAGGTAACCGGTCCAATCTACCATGTAATGAAGATGGTCGGTATAGGTAACCGGTCCAATCTACCATGTAATGAAGATGGTCGGTATAGGTAACCGGTCCAATCTACCATGTAATGAAGATGGTCGGTATAGGTAACCGGTCCAATCTACCATGTAATGAAGATGGTCGGTATAGGTAACCGGTCCAATCTACCATGTAATGAAGATGGTCGGTATAGGTAACCGGTCCAATCTACCATGTAATGAAGATGGTCGGTATAGGTAACCGGTCCAATCTACCATGTAATGAAGATGGTCGGTATAGGTAACCGGTCCAATCTACCATGTAATGAAGATGGTCGGTATAGGTAACCGGTCCTATCTACCATGTAATGAAGATGGTCGGTATAGGTAACCGGTCCAATCTACCATGTAATGAAGATGGTCATATAGGTAACCGTCCAATCTACCATGTAATGAAGATGGTCGGTATAGGTAACCTGTCCAATCTACCATGTAATGAAGATGGTCGGTATAGGTAACCGGTCCTATCTACCATGTAACGAAGATGGTCGGTATAGGTAACCTGTCCAATCTACTATGTAACGAAGATGGTCGGTATAGGTAACCTGTCCAATCTACCATGTAATGAAGATGGTCGGTATAGGTAACCGGTCCAATCTACCATGTAATGAAGATGGTCGGTATAGGTAACCTGTCCAATCTAACATGTAATGATGATGGTCAGCATCCGGTCGAGGTGACCATGTATCTGCATCTTATTGCATAACTATTTGCTAGACACAGAGAGCATAATGTTAGATTGAGTTACAATTAATGACTTTCCAGCCATAGATCACCCCAATATAATCCCGTATAATAAGCTCATCCACAGGCAGTGAATACATTGCCTACAGTATACCGTCATGTACCTAGAGTTAGGGTGGGTTCTACAGAAAACCAACACTTGTATATCTATCATAAAAGAAGATACAGTGTGATTATATGGCAAAACTTTTGATCTTGTAGAAATACATAGATTGAATACATTATTCTTGAAGCTGAAGTCAGAAGTGATTTGTTCCCACTTTAGATATAGATATTGAAAGGTTACTGATCCATCTGTATCTCAGTGTGACTGAGAGCATGCCATTGAGATCAGAGGTATCTGATTATCACAGAACACTGGATCCAGGGGACAAGGTCCTATATCAATTATTCCCAATTTCCCTGTAATTTGCAGTAAATATAGAAAGAGTGTGAAATGTTGGAGGACTTGATACATTTCCTCAGAGGTCTAGAAAAGATAATGGGAATAGTTTCACAACTCATGTCCCTGGATTCGAGGAACAGAATATCTGTCACTTTAGGGACTTAACAGATAACAATCTCTCGTCTCCCTGGGACATCTTCTTAAATGCCTAATTCATTCATGTTATCCAAGACAGATCTTATTATTCATCAGTAATGCTCGCCAATTAACGGTGGCAAGCCTGACCCATGTCCATGCACTTGACAATAATTATTATATTGTATGCTTGTATTGTACAGGCGGGCTGCTCGAACAAGATGCAATCTATTTATGGTAATCAATAGACTCAGGTCGCCCCCACTGATTCCATGCAAATGATTGAAATAAATCATTTAGTGACCTTTCTGGATTGGACAGAATATTGGATATGAGTTTGGAGAATGTAAAGTGACTGATTGTGAAAGCAGCCAAGGTAGCAAGGTAAGTCATTTGCAGTAGGTATTCAGACCCTGTATAAAACCTGTTACATTTCAAGGGATATTTACCTGTATAACGCCCAGACTCACTGGCAGACAGAGATACAGGTTATCCCAGTGTTAAATAAATGTGAGCAGATTATCATCAAACAGTATTCATTACATAAACATTTTAAACAATTCCCTCTCACTATGATCAATGCCATTATTAACAATAATAATAACATACACACTGCTTAACATGTTCTACATACAATTACATAACAGAAAGACACTATATCAAACAACAGATAAAATAGTTACAAATAAAGCTGTCATTGTACACAGTATGGAATGCAGATTGTACAGCACAGAGTACAGAAGTTCTACTTACAGTGTGCAATGCGTACAGCTGGTTGGATGGTTTGCTGATTAACCCTTGGAGAGCCTTTCTTCACAGACACAATGTCACAATGAACAAACCATGCCACAGACACAGACTGGCATTTCTTACTGCAAACTCTGCCTTTTCCCAGGGCTGGGGGAGGACTGGTTAAACCTATCACAGCTCCTCACTAAACACAGTCCTTACTCAGATGTAATTTATGTTCCTGCCACTAGGGTTCGCTCTCACCGAGGTACCAGAATTGGGATTCAGGGAGCTGTCCAGAGGGGTCAGTGCTGAAATTGATGGCATTGATGCATCATACCTGTATATAAGTCACCATTTACCCCTTCCTAGCCAAATGATAGGCAAATCACATTAATAACAAACACTTTAAGGGGTTAAGGAGGAAGATCTCACATGTTTGCTTTTAGTTAACAGATGACATATAGATCTGCACGATTTATTCAGGGAGAGAAATTTAATAACATGGAATAGAGCAGGGTCCTAACCACCAAAGCTTGCAATCAAACACTGTGTGGTTACATTATCCAATAACATCCACTAATACTGTTTTAGTATATAATATATTCACGTGTTAACCCTTTGTAGGCTTCCCTGTCTCTGTCTTTTGATATGATTGATTATATTGTTATTACATTGTGTTAAGTGATTATTTGTTAATGGAGGCGTTTCCCTGTGTTAGGCTCTCTTGTAATAAAGATCGGTTTTCCCAATACATGTAATGTGTGATTATGTTATTGGCTATGATGTTGACTGGCATGTTTGCCCTGGAGGAAGGGCGATAGGTGGGTGAGAGTAATATTATATAAACTGAGCCTGAATTATCTGACAGACATGCTGAATTATTCAACTCCACAGGCTGGCCCTTTAATTATAGACCCCCTTAACACAGGCCGCATCAATGTGTATATAAAATGCGTTTTCAATTCAAATCTACAGTTTGCTTTTTAATTTCTATTGCTTTGTTTTGCTGTGGTTTTTTTTTTCATGAGAAAAATTACATGAAAAAAAAAGTTTTATTTGTGTATAAGTGGAGTAGAATATTTTCCATAAATATTATGGTTAATGCTAATTAATAAGTGGTTAATTCTACCATTTTAATAATTTTACAGCTTTTTCCTGTCCATTGGAAGTTAATAATGTATTGCCAATGCCTGATGTCTCTGTCTTTCAAACCTACAAGCTCTAAATATTACTATAGGAAATCATTTGAATCTGAATACTTTTAATGAAGAAAGATAAATGAATTTGCAGTTCCACTAAAAAGTTCTGAATGTTGGTAAATGATATGAGGACATTCTGCAAACCTGTTTGAAATATATTTAATGAACTTTACATATCTGAACATTATAAGTTTTGCTTTAGTTGAAATTAATTTCATTTTAAATGTCTTTCAGACACAGGATGTAGCTAGTATTACAGACTAGGGATGTGCATGGGAAAAATATTCGGTTTATCATTCCAAAATTCGGGACTTCGACAATTCGGAACTTCAGCACTCCAGAATTTCTGCACTTCAAAACTTGGGGTAAGCATAGGGTTAGGGTAGGGTTATGGTTATGTTAGGGGTAGTGTTAGGCTAGGGTAGGGTTAAGGGTTAAGGGTAAGGTTAGAGTTAGAGTAGGGCTAGTGGTAGGGTTATGGTAGAGTTAGGGGTAGGGTTCTGTTTGGAGCAGGGTTAGGGTTAGGTGTAGGGTTATGGTAGGGTTAGGGGTAAGGTTAGGGTTAGCATAGGGTGAGGGGTAGGGTAGGGTTAGGGTTACCCTACCCTAACCCTACCCCTAACCAAACCCTTAACCCAACCACTAACCCTACCTCTAACCCTACTCCAGCCACTAACCCTAACCCAACCCTTTCCTGTTTTGCCACTTTTCAGAAATCCGAAGCACTTCGGAAATTCGGCACTTCGGTTCAGCATTCCAAAATTCGGAACTTCAGAAATTCGTCACTTCGGACATTTGGAAGCATCCGAATTTCCAAAATTCATCCGAATTTACATTCGGAACGAAACGAATTGCACATGTCTATTACAGACTTCCATTGTACACCAAGGATCACCACATGGTTCTTGTTAAGATAGATTGATAAAGGTCTGTTGATAGTAACCTTTGACCCAGCTTTGCAAGCCAGACTCCCTGTGTGAAGGTTCAAATTTCTGAAGGCATTCATTTGAGTTCCATGCACTCGATGACCAAACACCGCTGGATGCATTACACAAAACAAGATGGCCGCCGCCAGTGATCGACAGCCATTTCGAATTCAATAATAGGAAGATCTGTCTCACACAGGGACTGCAAGCCCCAACCATTGGGGACAACGGAAAAAGGGGATACGGACAGCCCCTAGCAACAATGAGGGTGATGCTCCAAGGCTTATTCCGCTACATTGTGTATGTTTGAATAAATATACATTTTTGGCTGCAAGACACTCTGATTCGATTATTAGAACACTGGTGTGTGACAAACAAACATCTCAAGAAAATATCCTACACTGTTCATTGACAGGACTCTACAAAGAATGCAATGTCATCATCTGAGACTGGAGCAAAAAAGATTTCACCTACAGCAACAGAAATAGTTTTACAGTATAATATGGAATTCACCAAAGATACATTCTGTATTGTTGGACTCAATTAATGCATTTTAAAGGCATTGTGAGAAAGGCATTATAATAGCTGGCTTGATAACTGAAATACAGAAGGGAGATTGTATCCTTTTTAAGGTATAATTAGACATTTCTATATGGGGATTTCTCTCCTACTTTTGGGACGACATTCGTCATTACAACAGCAGGTCAATGTAAATTTGTAAAAGATAACAGTGTTAATTACTAAAGTGTGAATTCAAAATATTAGGCCACAATACCCAAATTGTAAGGAATTCCCCCAAATATTTTGAGCTATTTTGGCTTTGAAATGAATTTTGAATTCGGTGTGGAGAGCCATAGAGAAATTGTTTCGATTTTATGTAACCTACACGGGAACGCCACATTACACAGGACTCTATTTGTGCGCATCACGGGAGTTATTTTCCCTTCGGGTTATACGAGTGCAATTCACTCTGAGTTGAATGTGGAATTTAGAGAAATGACGGCTGCTCCACAGGTCACAATATATGGAGAGAGATAAGAGAAAGGCTTTGTACTGCCATGGTTCATGTTCCACAGAAATCCATCTGATGTATTCCATTCTCTACATAGATCACCACATTCAGCAAATTGTGAATACCTTTTACCTCCATCAGTTTCAAACAAATGGCGTGCGCATGGGGTCACAGTCATCAATGCAAGGAAAATTGGTGCAAAATGAAATCTTTTCCTTTTCCCCAAAACATTCAAAGCTCTTGAAATAGTTCCATTGTAACATTGGCCACTATTTTACATAATAGAAAAACTCATTTATAGACAACAAGTCCTCTTTAGAATCCCATCTACATTTTGATGCTAGAGAGAGGACGTGTGTATTTAAGCAATCTGAATTAACAAACAGAAGAAGTCTGGTCATAACCATCTACAATGGAATTAATCTTTCTACTTCGATTCTCCGTCTAATAGAGAAATAGGAGATTGTGTTTTGTGGAATGAGTTCATATTTGCTTGATGGAAATATATCTAAGCAGTGAATCACCATATGATGAAGAAATTTATTTTTTTTGTGTACACAGCCCTACAATGTAATCCCAGTCTCTCTGACAGAAGGAAGTGGAAGAATAATATTTATCTCATCAAAGCATTAATGATCACTATTTTACTGAACACGTAATGAGTCAATCATTGTAAATCTGATTAGCAGCCTTGAAAAGTAGCTGAAGAATATTTGCATATAAATAATCAAAATATTTGCCTATAGCGTAATAAATAATTAGCGCTAACCGTTTTGGGGTGAGAGATCTTCTCTCTACCATGTGGACAGGAGTTGGAACGCACTTATCATTACGCTCACCTACCTGAGCACTATAGATGATCTCTCCCAGCTCTAAACACACACAAGAATGCAGAAAATAAGCGTCCGTGGAACCAGAACGTTAGGACTGGAATGAAACTTTTGGGCTGGCGCCTGAAGGATTTGTGCTGCGCTGGGTGTGCACTAGTCGCAATGGGTGTGATAAAAAGCCCACACTTTGTTCCCTCCCCCCTATCATTTTCTTGTTATCCTCGATTCTTGTGTTTTCAAATCGTTCAAAATCAACAGTTTCAGTTATTTTCTTTTAGATAATAAGTGCAAACTAACACCAAAATTGGGGAGGGGGTAAAAAAAAAAGCAGTAATGGACTGTGGCGAAACCAACCTCGCCACTGGGCATTGGAGAAGCCTGTTTGCCTGCCTCCTGCCTGCTGACTATGGCCCCTTGGAGATTTGGCCCTTTTAATACAGTATTTGGGCATATTGTATTTTATTATGCTGTTGGCCCTTTAAGAACCATCTGGGGACATACTGTGGAGTTACTGGGTGTGGCAAAACTAGCCACCAGAGACTATTAATGTATAAGTATGTTTGTATTCTTGCTAAGCCATAAAGATCAGTGCAGGATTCTATTTATATTTCAGGCGAATGAGGGCATTCGTATGCTGGCGGTAGGAAAACCCCAGCATTCATACTGTAGTTTTACGAACAGTGAGTTTAAACACTGTTCGTGAAACGAATAACATACCGAATGCACGACCACACACAGGGGGTCGTGTGGCGCCCATTAACCGATTGCAACATTGTTGCAATTGGTAATTAAGTGTGTTTCTAGGTGGCTGTCGTTCGACTACCGACCACACGGCGGTCGGCCATCTTGATTCTTTTGTTAAACCAGCGGTGTTTTGCCGTCGAGCGCGTGGAACTAAAAACGGCTACTCGACGGCGCGAACACCGCTGGACTTCTAGGCCGTTCAGGAACCCTGGCCGTTCGGTAGTTTGTTCCCCATATCCTAATCGGTATTTTAAACCTATGTTAGAAATAATGTGTATTTCATGCGGCGTTCGGTTAGTTAGACTCGGAGCTGAGCGGTATTCTCACGAACTATGCGCTCAGCCTATATAACACAAGACAGGTCACAGTACCAGTCTCTCTCTCTATATAACACAATACAGGTCACAGTACCAGTCTCTTTCCCTATATAACACAATACAGGTCACAGTACCAGTCTCTCTCTATATAACACAATACAGGTCACAGTACCAGTCTCTCTCTATATAACACAATACAGGTCACAGTACCAGTCTCTCTCCCTATATAACACAATACAAGTCACAGTACCAGTCTCTCTCTATATAACACAATACAGGTCACAGTACCAGTCTCTCTCCCTATATAACACAATACAGGTCACAGTACCAGTCTCTCTCTATATAACAAAATACAGGTCACAGTACCAGTCTCTCTCTATATAACACAATACAGGTCACAGTACCAGTCTCTCTCTATATATAACACAATACAGGTCACAGTACCAGTCTCTCTCTATATAACACAATACAGGTCACAGTACCAGTCTCTCTCTATATAACAAAATACAGGTCACAGTACCAGTCTCTCTCTATATAACACAATACAGGTCACAGTACCAGTCTCTCTCTATATAACACAATACAGGTCACAGTACCAGTCTCTCTCTATATAACACAATACAGGTCACAGTACCAGTCTCTCTCTATATAACACAATACAGGTCACAGTACCAGTCTCTCTCTATATAATACAATATATCTGTATACTGAAGGAAAAACAATGATTGAGACATGCTATGACTATATACGTGCCTTATCAGAATAAAAATGGATAATTTTTCAGATCTGATAGTTCCGGCATATTAGTATCTCTCCACATCCAACCCTGACACAGGATTAGCACCAATCACAGCGATTGCAGTCATTAACGCAGAGTGGAGATAAGTACTGTAAAGGACAGGTTATTTGGAATTGTTAAATGCTCCAACTGGTTTAATGTGTAATCTTCCATGTATAAAGAATTTTCAACTATGAAGACATTTATTTATTTTTTTAAAACAGCCCCCAACTAAAATATTAAAACAACAAAGCTACGGAATTAGAAAAGAAACTAGTTTTTTCTCGCTACTGAGGGAGGATGTGCAAAACTAAGATAATTAATAGTATGTGGTAAAAAGAGGAAACGCAACATAATAACACCACAAACAAAAATAAGGTCTGAAGATGGTGGTAATGATGGCAATGAGAAGGCAGCAAGGAATTCTGGGAAAACCATAATGCCCCCCACTAAGGGAGTAAAAGAGACCCTGAACCCCGTGGCGGCAGCACCTGGCGCAGTGTCAGGATTGGAGTGTTAGATCACAACTAACAGAAATATGAACCGCGTCCAGGTCTCCGCCAGGTCTGAATATGGCGATGGATCCTGCTGACGCTGGCTGCCATCTTTGTCTGTCCCACTGCACATCTATCATTCTCCATTCTGTCTAACTAGACATGGCATCTACGTCGAGCTCTGTCTCTGTTGGTATCTCCCCAGCATCCTTCAAACCTTACGTTTATTAATATCCTCTTAAAATGGCTTCTTTCAACCTAACCCCAGTCTAACTGCTATCCCATAATGCTCATGGACATAACGCTGTCTGACCCTCTTCTGTTTGGTCTTCACTGTAACCAGGAAAAAGAGAGGTCCAGGCTCCGCAATGCACATTTATTGGAACCAAGTACACAGCAACGTTTCGACCCAACAATGGGTCTTCGTCAAGTTCACTGTAACCAGGAAAAAGAGAGGTCCAGGCTCTGCAATGCACATTTATTGGAACCAAGTACACAGCAACGTTTCAACCCTACAATGAGTCTTCGTCAAGTTCACTGTAACCAATGACTTATTTCTTGCTATTTCTTTATTTTACTTTTAGCTTTGCCACTTGCCTTTTTCCCCTTATCCCATCATAACGAGGGAGGCTGGTCCACTGGGGCTGGGCAGGCAGTATTCCCTAGTTTTTGTTGCAATAAAATGAAAAAAAAAGAAAGAAATCAAGATGTCAGATCGATGACGTCCTAAGAGATAGGTTCATGTTTTGTTCCGTCTTGTAAGATTGTCATTGGGTAACAACATCAGTGGGCGGAGCCAGGCCTCTTTAAAGTGGTTATTGATATCCAAAGGTTTATAGTGTTGAACCAGGTTTGACCTCCCATTGTGCCAAGGGTTGAGTAATTGAGGTTAATTTGACATCATAGGCACCCAGATCACTTCAGCTCATTAAAGGGGCCTGGGTGCAGTGTCCCAGGTCCCTTACCCTGCAGTGGTAATTATTGCAGTTTTTAATAAACTGCAAAAATTATCTGCCAGGATTAACTCCACATCTAGTGGCTGTCTGCCAGACAGACTTCTGGGTCGTTAGGCGATGCTATGCATGGGGACGTCCAGCGGAGCCTGAACCAGCAATGAGGGACATCGGCGCGGGAACCAGGTAAGTGACAGAAGGGGATTTTAACCCCATCTGCACCAAGGAGGGGGGTTGGCAGCGACACTTTAAGGAGCAATAGTGCCAGGAAAGCAACTTTGTTTTCCTGGCACTATAGTTTCCCATTAAGTTGGAAGAGTCCAACAAGCCAGGTGGCAGGGTCAAATAATATGGGTGGAGTCTAATGCACCACCATCGTTAAACTTCACCAACCACCACTGGCTATAACCATCACTGCTTTCCTCGTGCCGATTGGACCTCCATCCAAGTTCTCCTTTTTTTTCTATTAAATCACTCGTAGTCCGTTTCATTGGGGAAACCATGTTCACACTGAAACCTACGACTGAAAATGACCAATTTATAATATCTACATACTGTGTATTGGAAGAATTAACTCAACCAGAGATGGTGGAGAATCGGTCAAAGATTTGCAAATTAACTGAACTGGGAATTAGCAGCGATAGAGAAGGTGTCCAACCCTGATATTCTGGATAAAATGTTCAATCCCTAGTCAGCATTTTAGTAAAAATAGCCATGTAATGGACCGTTTTGCACATAAGAGGTTAAAAAACGTTTAGGCGATATTCCCCTTTCCAGATGCACCGACAGCTACTGTAAGCACCAATCTCCCGAACTGCAAACTACACGAATTCACCAACTCCCGAACAGGAAACACACGAACACTGGAAACAGTCGAACAGGAAAAGCATACAATCAGCTTACACTCCTGGCAATCAGCATACAATACAATTCCCCCAATAACGAGACGACACTTCGTTTTGAGGGT